TGGAATTGGGTATTTGGGGGGGAAGTCCTGGAACCAGTCCTACCCACCCCCCACCCCCACAGTGGATACTGAGGAACAACTGTACTTGATGTGAACTTCTGGCACAGTTAGTGATTTGTAGTAGGTGTCATTCAGCAGAAAGATATGATCCATTTCTCTATGATACATGTATCTGGCATTGGTGTTTTGGGAGTGCCTACTCCTGGGGCTGTGAAGGATTGGGGCCGGTGAAAATTGTCTGTTAAGGTCTGGAGGGTCTAAGCCACCAAGCTTGTCCTCATCTGAAAAGATACTCTGCAATAAACTGTGCCATTCTGTTTTGTGGGATGAGTAGCCATTGCTCACCTAATGGGCAAAACTGTTTACACAGTATTGGGTTTCTGTAACATGGGCCCTTTTTCTTTGGAAATCCCTCAGACTGATGATCATATTTTTGTTGAGGAAGATTTTATGTTAGTCTCTTCTCCCCTGCTTCCTTTTAAAACTATTATCTAAAAATTAGAAACGTGGTAACTAAAGTGTTAAATTAAAAAGAAAAAAAGTATATCCTGCTCCACCGCTTATCTTCACAATGACTACAACATGTATCATGCTTGATACCAAACTCTTAACAGAGATATGACTAATTAACAATCTTATGTTTATACAACCAATACCTTATCTTCTGTAGTCATCGTAACTCTTCCCTCTGTGTACTGTTACCTCCGTGACTGTCCTTGGAGCAGTTTGGCTGGTCATATGCCCAGACGGCACCAAGTAAACAAGTGGGTCACGGGTGGTTTTCTGAAAACGTGCGTGTGGAGAGTGGCGAGGCAGGACCCGGCCGGCATGAGCTCTGTGCTCCTTGTGTGTTTGCACCGAGATCCTGAGTACCATTTCTCTTCCGTCCTTAACCTGCCCATGGCCCACGGCTATTCTCTGCCCTGCAGTTAAACCCTGTTCATAGCACTGTGATAACTTATGAATAAACCTGGCTACTAATTGTTTATACTCAGGTTTTTTTGTTTGTTTGTTCCATTTCTGATTTTGCATAAAGAAAGGGGATCCTAGTTTCATTTGAGGAGAAGGACATGGCAACCCACTCCGGTATTCTTGCCTAGAGAATCCTGTGGACAGAGGAACCTGGTGGGCTGCTGTCCATAGGGTTGCACAGAGTCGGAAGTGACTTTGCATGCATGCATACGTTGGAAAAGGAAATGGCAACCCACTCCAGTATTCTTGCCTGGAGAATCCCAGGGACAGAGGAGCCTGGTGGGCTGCTATCTATGGGGTTGCACAGAGTTGGACACGACTGAAGCAACTTAGCAACAGCAGCAGCAGCAGCTCCATTTGAAGTTCAGATCCAATCATGATCTATGTTCAGTACATAATTTTGAAGGAGACACCCAGAGTGAGGGGAATAGGAACAGTTTTAGTTGACATTTATTATTATTAGTATTATTTTTTTAAAGATCCTAGTGAGAAAACAGAAAGAGAAAGGGAGGTAGAGGTGTGGGAAAGATGAGATTTAGAGAAGAGAGATGAGGGATTTCTGTAGTGGTCCAGTGGCTAAGACTCTGAACTCCCAATGCAGGCGGCCCAGGTTCCATCCCTCCTCAGGGAACTAGATCCCACATACCGGAACTAAGAGTTTGCAGGCCACAAATAAGAAATCCACATGCTGTAACTAAGAACTGGCACAGGCAAATAAATGTTTTTTAAAAAAACAATTAAAAATAAAGAGGAGAGATGAAAGCTGATATAGAGGGCCTGCTGAGGTGGTTTTTGCTGAGAAAAGCTACTAGGACTTTTTTAGTGTTGAGAATGAGTAGAAGAAAGGTAATAATGAGGTGTTAAGCAGCTGTGCTATAATAAGTAGCTGAGGATCAAGAAAAGAACAGCACCAAGTAGATGGAAATAACCTTGGAGCAGCCAATAGGTGGAGAAAGTTATAAACCAGAGTCTTCTAGGGAAGCGTTGATAATAGTATAGTCAGCAAGTCTTAAGCAAACCACTTATACATAAGCTTCCTTCTGTCTTAACATTTGACTACATCTAGCTCAGATGGTAAAGAGTCTGCATGTAGTGTGGGAGACCCGGGTTTGATTCCTGGGTTGGGAAGATCCCCTGGAGAAGGAAATGGCAAACCACTCCAATATTCTTGCCTGGAAAATCCCACAGATGGAGGAGCCTGGCAGTCTATAGCCCATGGGGTACCAAAGGGTCAGACACGACTGAGCGACTTCACTTTCACTTTTAGCACCTTTATTTGTCTGTTGTTGTTGTTCAGTTGCTAAGCAGTGACTCCATGGACTCTTGTAACCCCATGGACTGCAGGCTTTTATCTTAATGGAATGAAAGAAGGAACACTAAACTGGAGACCAGGTTCTAGTCCCTGCTTGGTCACTAACTAGTTGGGGTGGTGGTCGGGGGTTGTTTTTGAATCCAAAAATGAGGGAGTAGGATTAAATAACCTCTAAGGTCCTTTCTAGCTCTAAAAATTTAAAATCAACTGTGTTGAAGCCTCACAGACTTTGAACTCCCATCACATCGGGTCAGAGGATAGAAGACCATGTGTGTATGTAGGACACTGAACAGTTGATAGAATGCTAAGTCAGAGAGATGTTGAACGAAAAAAGTGTTATATTATGGGATATTTGGGGTATTCCTTCTTAAAGCAGAATCATGGTTCATGATGTCAGAGGGAAGCCAATTTTAAGGTTACTTTGTTAATTTTAGCTGCCTTTTAAATTCCCTCTAGAGAATGGTGACTTCCAGGTAAGAAAACCCTGGCTTTTTTCAGAAGGTAGGGGGTCTGACCTGAATTGTCAGGGATAGAATGCAGGTTTTCCTGACACAGACTCTCAGAGTATTGCAGTGCTGGACTCTCCTTCTCAACACTATTTGACTCTGCTGGCATCAGTGACAGTTGGAATGCAGGCCACCTCTTGGCCTGTGCTAGAATTGCTCTCTTCCTCCCCTCATATTTATCACTTTGTCATCCCTGACTCTGAATCCCAGAGATCAAGGCTAGCTGTAGTCCAGCAGAGGAGCAATAAATCATTGTGCTCCCTTCCTTTTCTCCAGGTTTTCTACCCCTTAATTACCACATAACCACTGCTGAGGCTGCATCTTTGTGCTGCGTGTGCCTGGGACAAAAGCCTTCGTTGATTGGATGTGTACAAAAGCAGCTTTGTTTCTAGCTAGCCCTTGTGTTTTGTGGAATGCCACATGTATTACCCATCCTTTTTTCTTGTCTCCTGTGAATTTATAGAGTCTTACTGCCAGAAGATTTATCCATTAACAGGGCTTGTCTAAGCTCTGGGGTTAGTGGGGCTGGAGTGGGCAGCCCCATACACATAAGAAGAGAGATTTGGGCTGGGTTAGTCTTTTTCTTGGCCATGCTGCAGCTTGCAGGATCTTAGTTACCCAATCAGAGACTGAACCCAGGCCACGGCAGTGAAAGTGCCAAGTTCTAACTAATGGACTGCCAGGGAATCCCCATGGGTTAGTCATTTTTATGTGGGTTTTAGCTAGTCCCCTTCATTCTCTGAGCTCCTGGTAGGAGCTTAGTAGATTGTATGATCCAGAATGGTCTCCCATGGAGCTTTTTTGGGTCCAGTCCAATAGATGACTTGTTAACAGACAACATCAAAAGAGCCAGCTGCCTATCATTTGCCTTTCCATTGGGAAACCTCAGAGAACTTGAGTCAGGGTGAAGAGTTCATAAATGAGGATGCCTGCCTCCTTCAACCCTAGCAAGGATTTTTTTTTTTTTCTATTTGAAGGGAAGAGTCAGGCTTTAGAAACAGAATGTAGACAAGCTCTTATACTTTTCCTTGCCTGCTGTTTCTTTACTGTACCTGTGCTTTTAGAGGGTTGAGAGTGAGGGGTGTTGTGTGGCAGGCAGCAAGTGTCTGGAGAGACTTACTCCTACTCATCATTCCCTGCTGTTTCAAATCTAAGCTCACATCTCTTTTCTAAGAGTAGTAAACTTCACACAAAGCTCAGATGAGAGAATGGACTTCTCTGCTGACAAAAAAGCAGGTATGGTCTTAGGAAAGGAGCGGTCAAGCCTTTTTTGTATGTGTGTATCTATAAGTAGGACAAGGGGAGAAGACAAAAGGAACATCAAATACTTGTAGCCGCTGAACCCCTCCTTTATATTCCCCATCATACAGGGGAGATAGGTACAGTGGCAGTGGCTATGGTGGGCCCAGAAGCAGGACTGAGTTTATAGCCTTGGGTGAAAGAGTATAAGGCAACAGTTAAATTATTTTATGCTTAATATTTATTGGCAAAAATGTCTTTAAAGCTGTACTGTTTAACTAGGGACTTAGCAGTCAGTCTCATGATTGAGATTGCTTAGGTTTTGGCACTCTCTCCCCTCATTAAAGATTACAAGGCAAAAAGGGGACCTTTTCAGTAAATGTTGTCACAATTAAGAGAGGACAGAGCATGTTGCACTCTTATTTGAATATTTGGAACAGTTAAGGGCTTTTTTTTTTTCCCTTCATGAGCTCTTTTTTTATCCAGAACTAAAGCAGTAGGTTCTACAGTATGTCTGTCGATCATTTAGATTCGAAAGATGTCCTTCTTAGCAGTAATGTTTGAAATAGATACGTAGCTAAAACTTGGTGACTTGGAACGCTAGCAGCCTGGGGTGAGAAGGGACACTCAATAAGCTGAGGAAATTTGATGGGAAATCAGCATACAGGTGTAAATTTGGAACACTGAAATGTCCATTTTATAGTCAAATTTCTGAGCTTAATTGCTATTTAAGAAGTAAAAAGTAGATTTTTAAAAACCTTCTATGGACAGATAAGCAGATAGGTGCTTGAGAAGGTCAGTGCTTTCTTCTACTACACCTGCTCTGCTTGCCTTTAAAATTTTCCTAGTAGCTGTGATATACTCATTCTAGCCCTGTTTGGATTTCTTTAGATCTAGTCTACTTTCATTTAAGTTTATTGATTATGCTTTGATTATCTTATCAATGCCTTTTTTTTCCCTTCTTTTTAAAGCCTTGATAAATTTGCTGAAGTTCCTTATGTCAAATGAGACTGTACTTTTGGCAAAGCACAACATTTTTACGTTAGCTCTTATGGTGAGTAGCAAAAAAACACATTTATTTTTCTGAAGTTATACTCTAGGGCAGAAATGGGCTGGTTTGAGACAGGAGCTGGTGTTCTAAGGATTAAACTATAGGGGGATACCAGGCCTTTATTTTCCCTTTGGATCAGAATCTCTCTACTAGTGCTTCCACTTTCACCTGTGTCTTTGGAGAACCTGGGGCTCTTTCATGAAATAATGGTAAGACACACTGCTATATAATATTCCCACCACACAGATATAAGAGGTATAAATTAATTTCAAGGAGATTGATGATATGGAAAGGTAGAAAATAATTAGAAGGTGATGAGTTTTCAGTAATTATTACTTTAATGTAATTTATTGAATGGTAAGTTTTATAGAAGTTAATTTTTAATAATGACTGTTTAATAACCAGCTAACAAAATTGCTGAAAATTTAACTGCTCTTGAAAGACAATAAGAGCTGGCTATGTAGCACACTACTGATAATACCCTTCTGAGTCTTCATAGTATGATGTCTATATATGGGCTTTTGCTTCTTTTTTAGATTGTGAACCTATTTAATATGTTTATCACATATGGAGATACATTCCTGCCCACCCCCAGCAGTTACGATGAACTCTACTATGAGATTATCCGCATGCACCAGAGCTTTGACAACCTCTACTCTATGGGTAAGCTGTCTTCTTTTTATTTTTCTCTCCCCGTCAGCTGTGATTTTTGGTCTATGAGAGGAAAAGACTGCAAAAGATTCTCCCCTAGTTGCTTGGTGCCCTTACTTGGCACAGAACTATAGTAGTCTCCTTTTCTCAGTTAATAAGATAGTATGTGTGGACTTCCTCACCTTTAGGAACTCAGAATTCATCTCTGTAGAAAGCTGGTTAGCATCCCTGTAGCCCTTTCTTGATGTTTGTGAAAGAGAGAAAATAGGGAGGCTTGTAGATTTAGTGAATGCCAGTGAGATGGGTGTGAGAGTGGGTGGGAGTTGACAGCAGCAAATAGAAGAGCTTGGATCCCAAAGGAACATTGTGTGATTTGAGAAGGTACAAGTTTTAAGGATTTTTAATGTACCTATGTATTTTTAGCATAACTTAGAAGAGGAAGTGGGCATTAGATAAAAATATTTTTTGCAAAAACCTTTTGGTGATTGGCTCACCAAAAATTTACTCTGCAGCCATGAGTATTCCTTATTTCTATAAGAGGTCATGTATCCCTGTAAGTTTGAGTGAAGAGTCTAATCAGAACTACCTAAGTTTAAAGGTCAAGAAAGATTTCTTTAGATTCCCCAGAAATAGTAAGCCACGTAATAAAGCTGTCTATTAAAAAGCTCCAACTTATTAGCTTTATTGGGATGTAATCGATATATGATAAACTGCATTCTTTTTTTTTTTTTGGCCATGCTGAGGTATTTGGGATCTTAGTTCCCTGACCAGGGATGGAACCCACACCCCCTGCAGTGGAAGCATGGAGTCTTAACCACTGGAGCCTCAGGGAAGTCCCAAACTGTACTTTTTAAAGGATACAGTTTTTGATAAGTTTTGGCATGTGTATATGTACATGAAGCTGTCATTAAATCAAGATATTGTGCATATCCACCCCCTCTTCCCAGATTTCCTTGTGTCCTTTTATGTCACTTTTACCACCTCTGTCCCTTATCCCTAGGCAACCCCTGATCTGCTTTATGTCACTATTGATTAGTTTACTTTATCCCTATTGTTGGGACTGTTTATGAACAGTTCATCTTCTGCTTGGGACTCCTGTATGTATCATGAGTAAAGTAGAGGGGATTTGGAATACCTGGAGAAAGAGTAGAAGCAAAGAGTGGAAAGAAGGATTGCCTAGGAGGAAATTTTTTTTTTCTGTTTCCCTGCTTTCTCATTCTCAGTGTAATAGCTTTAGCATCATGTCAGCTCCCCTCAGAATAAGAGGTTCCCATTGTCATATCAAGTCACACGTCTTTTTTTTTTGGAGATAGGAAGTCTTCCATTAGAACTCTCTAGCAAATTTCCCATTGGCAGAATGTTCTCAGTGTACCCTGGTGTGGTTTGCATCTACCTGGCTTTTACTAGTGTTCTTGTTTTCAAGAATATAGAATTTTCCAAGGGTGAAGAGCTGCCCCAGAGGCTTTAGTACCCATTAATGGATGAATAAAGAGGTCTTTCAGTGAGGAAAGGAAGGAGAGTTGGAGTGGGGGAGGTATTTTATAGATGTCTGATTTACCTGTGCAGTTGAGCTGTGTACACAGTCTAATGAGATCAACGTTTGCAGCTATAGCAACAAGAGAAGAAAGGATATCTGGGAATGCTCAGATGCACTAAGAAAGTACAAAGAGGAAAGTGAATTTTACTTAATGAAACACAATAAATAGTAGGAAGTGGCATGTTTCAGTACTCTCCATTTTGTGTAAAGTATGATGAAACTTCAGGTGGAAAAAAAATGTATTTTTTAGTCAGGTTTTTTGAAGTATAATTTACATATATGGTATAATTCACCTTTTTTTGTTTGGTTGGTTTTTTTTTAATTCACCATTTTTAATGTACTGTTCTGAATTTCAGCAAATGCATATAGAAGTATAATCATAGAAAATCAAGATTTAGAAGAGTTTTACCATCTCAAAAACTTCTCTCTTCTCTGTACTCCTGTGAGATCAACTCCTCCACCCACACCTGTGAGATCAGCTCCAAGCCAATTTCTAGCAACCACTGATCTATTCCTTGTCCCCATGATTTTGCCTTTTCTAAAATAGTATATAGATGACATCATACTGTTTTTTGAGTCTGGCTTCTTATACGTAGTAATTTGTTTGAAGTTATCCATGTTGATGCATGTATTAGTAGTTTGTTCCTTTTTATTATGGGTAATATTCCATTATGGGAATATGCCAGTTTAGCTTATTCATTTATCAGTGGAAGGACGTTTAGAAAGTTTCCAGTTTTTAGGGATTGTAAATAAAACCTCTGTAAACATTTTTGTACACAGCTTTATGTGAACACAAGTTTTCTTTTTACTTGGTACCTTCTTGAACATATGGAGCATATTTACAATAGCTGTTTTAATGTCCTTTCCCACTAACTCCATCATCTCTCTTCATGTCTAGGTCTGTTTTATTGACTGATTTTTCTCCTGCTTATGGGTTATGTTTTTCTGGCTTCTTTGGGTTTTTAAAATTAATTAATTAGGCTGCATTGGGTCTTAGTTGTGGCACATAGGATCTTCATTGCATCATGTGGGATCTTTGGTTGCAGCACATGGACTCTCTAGTGGGATCTTAGTTCTCTGACCTGGGATTGAACCCGTGTTCCCTGCACTGCAAGGTGGATTCTGTTTTTTTTTTTTGAAAAATTTTTATTGAAACAGTTGATTTACAATTTGTATCAGTTTCAGGTATAGAGCAAAGTGATTCGTGTGTGTGTGTGTGTGTGTGTGTGTGTGTACATATGTGTATTCTTTTTTTAGATTCTTTTCCACTATTGGTTATTATAAAATATTGTGTATAGTTCTGCAAGGTGTTTTCTTAACCACTGGACCACCAGGGAAGACCCTTTTCTACTTCTTGAATGCTGGTAATTTTTAAATTGGATTTTGAACATTGTGATGTTAATGTTGTAAGGTTTGATTTTATTATGTTCCTTTATATAATGTTAGACTTTGTTCTGGAATGCAGTTATGTCTTGTGAAATCCGTTTCATCCTTTTAGGATTTGCTTTTAAGGGTTATTAAGTTGGGTTAGGAGAAGGCAGTGGCACCCCATTCCAGTACTCTTGCCTGGAAAATCCCATGGATGGAGGAGCCTTGTGGGCTGCAGTCCATGGGGTCGCTAAGAGTCGGTCATGACACGTGCACCCCAATGTTCATTGCAGCACTGTTTATCATAGCCAGGACATGGAAGCAACCTAGATGCCCATCAGCAGACGAATGGATAAGGAAGCTGTGGTACATATACACCATGGAATATTACTCAGCCATTAAAAAGAATTCATTTGAATCAGTTCTAATGAGATGGATGGAACTGGAGCCCATTATACAGAGTGAAGTAAGCCAGAAAGATAAAGACCATTACAGTATACTAACACATATATATGGAATTTAGAAAGATGGTAACGATAACCCTATATGCAAAACAGAAAAAGAGACACAGATGTATAGAACAGACGTTTGGACTCTGTGGGAGAAGGCGAGGGTGGGATGTTTCAAGAGAACAGAATCGAAACATGTATATTATCTAGGGTGAAACAGATCACCAGCCCAGGTTGGGTGCATGAGACAAGTGCTCGGACCTGTTGCACTGGGAAGACCCAGAGGGATCGGGTGGAGAGGGAGGTGGGAGGCGGGATTGGGATGGGGAACACATGTAAATCCATGGCTGATTCATGTCAATGTATGACATAACCCACTACAATATTGTAAAGTAATCAGCCTCCAACTAATAAAAAAAAAAAAAGTAGAAAGCATAAAAAAAACCCCAAAAAACAGGTAACTAGAAAAAAAAAAGAGTCGGTCACGACTGAGCGACTTCACTTTCATTTTTCACTTTCATGCACTGGAGAAGGAAATGGCAGCCCACTCCAGGGTTCTTGCCTGGAGAATCCCAGGGATGGGGGAGCCTGGTGGGCTGCTGTCTATGGGGTCGCACAGAGTCGGACACGACTGAAGCGACTTAGCAGCAGCAGCAGCAGCAAGTTGGGTTAAGAGCAACTTTTATTATAGGCTAATTTGGCCAGATTACTAATGCAGTACCCATCTGAAGATTCTTCCTGATAATTCATATATTAGTAGGTTTTTCTACTCTTGCTGGTGGAAATGCAAATTATTTTGTTTGTAGAGCCTTCCATGAGCTCTACAGTTTCTTCTCTTTTCCAGTGGTTCTTTACCTCCAGGCTTGAGTAGTTTTCCCTTTCTTACGTGTAGATCAGTGCTCAGCAGAAGATGTAAGAGTACCCCTCTACAAACTTACAGAATACCCTGTTAAACTCCCTCCTCTACAATACTCTACCCCACAAATTCTAGGTGCTTTGGCCTGTCCAGTTGCTAATCTCTTTGTCTTTGATTTAGCAAGCTTCTGGATTCTGTTTAAGTTCCTCCTCTTTGCCCTGTAGATTGGAAACTTTTTCACACAGTAAGCTGGGATAATTCTTGGGCTCGCCTTGTTTGTTTTCCATCTTCAAGTATCACAGTTGTGTATACCCGTTGTCCAATGTCTGAAAGTTGTTGTTTCTTATATTTTGTTCAGTTTTTTCTTGTTTACGGTAGAAGGGTTAATTATATCTTGTTACCTCATCATGGCTAGCAGAGGGAGACTCTTGATAAAGACACACATTTAATATTCCTATGGCAATTAAGCTACTGCAGTGATAGCCACTGACAAGGAAGGACCTCGACGCAAGCTACCCTGAACCATAAATGATTCCATGTTTTGAACTGTTTTTTTCCTTTTATAAAAAGTTAATTACCAGTACTAAAGAAAAAACAAGGTGCAAATTTTTTTATTTAATACAATCTCTCCTTTCTAGTATGACCACTATTTTCATATGTGCTTCCCAGGTGGCGCTAGTGGTAAAGAACCCCCCTGTTAATGCAGGAGATGTAAGGGATGTGGGTTTGATCCCTGGGTTGAGAGAATCCCCTGGAGGAGGGCACGGCAACCTGTTCGAGTATTCTTGCCTGAAGAATCCCATGGACAGAGAAGCTTGGTGGGCTATGGTCCACAGGGGTCGCAAAGAGTCAGACACAACTGAAGTGACTTAGCATGCATGCACGCATTAGTCTACTTTATGCATAGTTTTACATAATTGTGGTCATGTTATCCTACTTCTTTTTTAACTATTATAGAACTTTTTTTTTTTTTGGTAGTTTTCTTAAGTTTCTTTCTGTCTACCCCCTCTCTGTTTTTGCATACTACGGGTACAGTTTATTGAACCATTCTTTCCTTTCATGAAAATTATGGTTGTTTCCAGTTTTTGCTGTTACGTAAGTCTCTTTTTTAAATGGCTGCATGGTATGCTGTTTTTGTGTACCATACTTTGTACTACCTAAATGATAACCTTAGCTTGAGGCGTTTGGGCATTTCGAGATAATTTTGTGTTTAAATTTGGGAACTTAGAAAATAATGTAAAAGCCAATGGCTTGGAAAGCTTGTTTCCCGTGGAAATGCAGTGATGAGGACATCTGGGTGTCTGTTCACTAAGGAACAGAAGTGACAGGATGTTAACAGAGAAATAATCCATGAACAGAGTTGAATACCTCTCTGAGGTAAGGGGAGTAAAATTCAGCTCAATTCCACAAATACTAGATCCTCACCATCAGAGAATTTATGATTTAGTGGAGGGTCTAGTGGAAAACAGATATATCTAAACAGTTTTTGCAACTGAGTTGAAAAAAATTTGTCTGACCTGCTTGAAACAGTTTTGTTCATTCATGAATAAATTTGTGCATACACTTAATGAAACCCTGAGTTGAGACTGAAAAGCTCTAACTTGAAACTGAGTTCCCCTGCACTAAATCTTGTAAATTAGGAAAGCAGCACTCTGATAATGTTTTATTAAGGCTTCCATCTTCTCTTTCGTAAAATTGGATGAATTTATAAAAATGAAATATTGCTAAAATAGATGCAGAGCAGCCAGATGAGTTTTCTTTCCCTATAACAGCTATATGCCCTCCCTCTAGTACAGCGGCTGCTACTACTCCTCTTGCTAGACGAATACTGGTCAGGAGTTGGTAGTGATGGTACCTATGCAGATTGGTTATATGCTTTTTAATGTTAGGCTCTGATTAACTTAACTAACTTTCTCCTTTGAGAAAGTCTTAAGTATATTCTTGCATTTGTTTGGAAGACAGTCTATTTAATAGCTAATACTAATACTTATGTAACAATTACTGTGTGCCAGGTACTGATCTAAGGTTTTATATAACTTACTTGATTTTCATAATAATCCTTTCATGTAAGTATTGCTGTTTTTCTCTAGTAAGTGGCAAAGGCTAGTCTTGGACACCAACAGTTGGCTTCAGAGTTCACACTCTTAACCACTCATTGTATCAAGTACAGACTGTAGGACCATTCCCTCCAGGTTTAAATTCTAGCCCCATTACTTACAGTTCTGTGAATGAACTTGATTGATTAATTGTTTGTCTCCTCTGAGTCTCATATGTGTGCTGTATTGTATATATTCTTTGTCCAGTTTCTGGCACATAGTAGACTCTCTCCATGTTTAGTTCATATTCGTTATTCACTCATTAAAAATATATACTTAGAGTGCCCACTGTATGCTTGTTCTTTCAAGGAACGCTTGTGCTGGTTTGTCTCTCTTCTGAAAGAGTATAGGTACTGTAATGTGTGGCCCTGAAGCTCATAGCTGGTAGACAATATGCATGTGTGTGTGCTAAATTGCTTCAGTCGTGTCTGACTCTTTGTGACCCTGTGGGCCATAGCCCACCTGGCTCCTCTGTTCATGGGATTCTCCAGGCAAGAAATATTGGAGTGAGTTCCAGAGTATCTTCCCAACCCAGGGATCAAACCCAAGTCTCTTAGATCTCCTGCATTGGCATGCGGGTTCTATACAACTAGCACCACCTGGGAACTATATTTCCATCATCCCTTCTGTGAGTAAGGGTGTAAGAGACTTTGGTGAGAGAAGGGAAGAATATTCCAGTTGATTCATGTTGCAGGTCACACAGTTAAGTCAAGGGAGCTAAAGTATGTTACTCTTTGAAACATGACCATCCTCTGTCTGACAAGATTATTTATACTATTTGACTCAGTTTAGACCTTTAGGAGAAAGATATACTGTATGTGGAACAGGTAGGGACACTTACCCAGCTGGCCGATTCCACTGAATCAGCCCAGCTGTTAGGGAAGTGATTAATGTGGCAATCAGGTTACCCTCACATCACCACTCCAGTGTAGATTTTAACTGAATGCAAAAACTAAGTATGGAAACATTTCAGCGGGGAGTGGAGAGAGGGAAACCCAAGACAGAGGAGTAGAATATTTTGATAGAAAATGAAAGAGGAAAAAAATTGCGGGAAAGATAGTTAAGAATAAGCCCTTATATTTTTTCTCTAGATTAGAATGTCTTAAATAGAAGATTGGCACAGACTCCATTTGGTTTTTCAAATAGTGATATTCTGCATTGTGTCTTCACTCCTCATATTTGTTTAATACCAGTGGTCTGACACATCTTTGTTCTTTCCTTTTTTACAGTCCTGAGGCTTTCTACCAATGCAGGCCAGTGGAAAGAAGCAGCTAGCAAGGTGACTCACGCGTTAGTTAATATCAGGTAAGAAGTGAGGATTTATCTCTTTCAGAGTTCTGTGGTTAATCCTGAGGTTTATTGTACCTTTCTAAGTGAAATATGTTGAACATCACTACTATTTTAAGCCCTGATGTCTGTAGGAGTGGAAGAAATTTTCGTATTTGATCAAGAAAAGCAAGAATGCATGTGACTTTCATTTTGTCATATTGACATAGCTCACGAAATTTGCTCATTTATGAATTTTCTTATCAGGAGATAGTTGGAAACTTTTCAGGCCTCTTTGTTGCCAAAGTGGTTTCTGTGTATAGGCCATCTGAAAGCTTTCCTCTGGAAATTTTTTTCTGCCTTTCTCCATGAGTTGAATGAATGACTCATGGGATCTGGAACTTTTGACGTTTTGCTTTACATGGCTATTTCTATTTGTGGTAAACAGAACCAAATGGAGCTCATGGGGCTAAGTCATTTTAGGTTCCTTATGAAACAGCATGGCAATTACAGAGTGCTATATGTATTGGATAAAATTGAGTCAGACATGGAGTTGGTTTAGGGTCTTGAGAAAATAGCACACACTCATAGGAGAGAGCTGTTTGTAAATGGAGAGAATGTGCTTTCAGTGTCATGAAACCTAAAGCTGACTTGTGTTACATTCCTCTCTCCCTTTGTGCCTATCATTTTTTATTTTCTCAGCAGTTACTATATTGCTCTTGCAAACAATTGAAAAATTAACATTGAGTAGAAGAGGCAAACCCAACAGATGGGGAAACTTGATTCAGCTCCAGATGTCAGTTTTGCCAGACATTCCCAGTAATAGTAATGCACATTTACAACTTGGTATATATTCTAATTTGTGACAGAGCTGAGATTCAATATTTGTTTCTATATCTTTCTTTTCTTCCCACCCCTTTCTTTTAAGATAAAATGTCCTGTCCCTGCAGTGACTTACTAGTGTTTGACAAGTCTGGGAACAAAAGAAAAAGTGTGAAATGTGTGTTTTGGGAGGGCAGGGGTGAGGGAGCAGGTAGGTGAGATGTGCTAACAAGATTGCATTGAGGATATTGAAGGTTGATCTGCCTTACCTGACCCCCAGAGACATTTTGCAGCAAACATGGTTTTATAAATCTCACACCTTCATGTATATTTGCCTCTAGCAAATAAGCCAGATACTGTAGTAAATCCTTATGATGAATGTGACTTTCTGTAGGAATGAGGAATTACAAACTGCCTTCTCCTAAAGAGCCCTTTGTGACTGAAGGACAAATGTGGGTGTTTGAAAGAAACACCAGATTCTGGACTACAGAATGAAGTGCGTGTGGGTATAATTTATGTTGTATTTGTTCATGTATTTACTTAGGGTTTTCAGACAGTGCCTTTTCATCTGGGGCTTGTTTGCTTGATCACAGTCTTTTATGCTTCCTTTATCTTCTGCATTGTTGCTTTTCCTTTCAGTGGCTTCTGGTTTGGCTGCTGTCCTTATTCTTCCCAGGGGCCATCAAACAGCTGATTTAAAACTGTTGACCTGTCGTTTTTCTGAATACCTCAGAAAGGACTGGCCTGGGCTTAGAGCAGATGCCTATAACCATGACATGGTTCTCTTTGTAAGTCAGGCCTATACCTTCATTTTCATTCCTCAAACTTCTTGATGAACTTGCTGCAGACAGTAATTATATCATCTTCACTGTTGCTAATGAATTAGACTTGGAATATATGTAGAAAATATCAAAGATCCAGTCAGTTTTTTCAAGAGATTACTGGAAAGATGTTTTAGAATATCACTTATCACACTAACACCAGATCAGGGGAGTATATTGGTGATGCTAAGCCTGCAGAAGTTTACTTTTTTCCTTTTTAAAATTTATTTTCATTTAGAAAGTACTAAACTAGGTACTGCTCTTTCAAAAATTGCTGTCTTCTTCAGTCATCAAACCCTATAGAGTATAATTTTTAATTAATGAGGAAACTTAAGTCTTGAAGATATTTGAATTGCAAAAAGTCTCACAATTCTTGTGTGTCAAATCTGAGGATTAATCATAGTTCTTCTAATTCCAAATCCAGGGCTCTTTCTTTTATATTGTGACGCCTCCTTCTTTAGTGTTACTATGGAGGTAAGCAGAAAACTCAGTATGATGTATTGAAAGGAGCTTGAGCATGGGAATTTGAGTTAGAGAAACTGGGTTTTTAATTTTTGTCTCTACCACTTAATATGTGACCTTGAGCAACTTATCTCTGGACCTCTTCCTACTATCTATAAAATGGAGGTCATGAGGATATCAGTTGTTTTATAGAGAAGCAGTTGTCAGACTTATGTATGTTATAGTACTTAGAAAACTATAAAATACTGATCATTTCATTTAGCATAATATCTTTACAGTTCATCGCCAATGTAGCACTTGTCAGAATTTCCTTCCTTTGGCTGAGTAATATTCCAAGTATATAGGTGCCACATTTTGTTTATCCATCATCCACTGATGAGATCCCAAGTGAATTGCTTCCACCTTTTGGTTGTTGTGTTTTTGGCTATTTGTACATGGGTGTACAAATATCTGTTCAGTTCCTGCTTTTGCTTCTTTTGCAACTATACCCAAAAGTAGAATTGGTGGATTGTGTAGTAAGCCTATGTTTAATGGATAGATGCGAAGAGCCGACTCAGTGGAAAAGACCCTGATGCTGGGAAAGATTGAGGGCAGGAGGAGAAGGGGGTAACAGAGGATGAGATGGTTGAATGGCATCATCAACTCAACGGACATGAGTTTGAGCAAACTCTGAGAGTTGATGATGGACAAGGAAGGCTGGCATGCTGCAGTCCGTGGGGTCACAAAGAGTTGGAAACGACTGAGCATCTGAACAATAACCATATTTAATGGGGCTTCCCAGGTGGCGCTAGTGGTAAAGAATCTGAATGCCAATGCAGGAGACACAAGAGATGCTGGTTGAATCCTTGGGTCTGGAAGATCCCCTAGGGTAGGAAGTGGCAAGCACTACAATATTCTTGCCTGGAAAATTCCATGGATGGAAGAGCCTGGTGGGCTAGAGTCCATGTGGCACCCAGAGTCAGATACAATTGAGCAACTGAGCACATCTCAGTTCAGTTGCTTAGTCATGCCTGACTCTTTGCGACACCATGGACTGCAGCACGCCAGGCTTTCCTGTCCATCACCAACTCCTGGAGCTTATTCAGACTCATGTCCATCGAGTCAGTGATGGCATCCAACCATCTCATCCTCTGTCGTCCCCTTCTCCTCCTGCCTTCAGTGTTTCCCAGCATCAGGGTCTTTTCCAATCAGTCAGTTCTTTGCATCAGGTGGACAAAGTATTGGAACTTCAGCTTCAGCATCAGTCTTTCTAGTGAATATTCAGGACTGATTTCCTTTAGGATTGACTGGTTTGATCTCGTTGCAGTCCAAGGGACTCTCAAGAGTCTTATCCAACACCACAGTGCAAAAGCATCAATTCTTCAGCGGTCAGCTTTCTTTATGGTCCAACTTTCACATCCATACATGACTACTGGAAAAACCATAGCTTTGACTTGACGGACCTATGTTGGCAAAGTAATGTCTCTGCTTTTTAATATGCTGTTTAGGTTGGTCATAGCTTTTTCCCCAAAGAGCAAGCATCTTTTAATTTCATGGCTGCAGTCACCATCTGCAGTGATTTTGGAGCCCAAGAAAATAAAGTCTGTCACTGTTTCCATTGTTTCCCCATCTATTTGCCATGAAATGATGGGACCAGATGCCATGATCTCAGTGTTTTGAATGTTGAGTTTTAAGCCAGATTTTTCTTTCTCCTCTTTCACTTTCATCAAGAGGTTCTTCAGTTACTCTTCACTTTCTGCCATAAGGGTGGTGTCATCTGTGTATCTGAGGTTATTGGTATTGTTCCCAACAATCTTGATTCCAGCTTGTGCTTCATCCAGCCCAACATTTCACCTGATGTACTCTGCATATAAGTTAAGTAAGCAGGGGGACAATATATATCCTTGATGTACTCCTTTCCCAATTTGGAACCAGTCCATTGTTCCATGTCCAGTTCTGACTGTTTCTTCATGACATGCATACAGATTTCTCAGGAGGCAGGTAAAGTGAAAGTGAAAGTCATGTTCAACTCTTTGACACCCCATGGACTATACAGTCCAGGATTCAAATTCTCCAGGCCATAATACTGGAGTGGGTAACCTTTCCCTTCTCCAGGGGATCTTCCCAACCCAGGGATCAAATCCAGGTCTCCCACATTGCAGGCGGATTCTTTACCAGCTGAGCCACAAGGGAAGCCCAAGAACACTGGAGTGGGTAGCCTATCCCTTCTCCAGTGGATCTTCTCAACCCAGGAATCGAACTAGGGTCTCCTGCATTGCAGGCAGATTCTTTACCAACTGAGCTATCAGGGAAGTCCTAGGTAAAGTGGACTGATATTCCCATCTCTTTAAGAATTTTTCAGTTTGTTGTGATCCACACAGTCCAAGGCTTTGGCATAGTCAATAAAGCAGAAATAGATGTTTTTCTAGAACTCTCTTGCTTTTCTTATGATCCAGCGGATGTTGGCAGTTTGATCTCTGGTTCCTTTGCCTTTTCTAAATCCAGCTTGAACATCTGGGAGTTCACGGTTCATGTACTGTTGAAGCCTTGCTTGGAGAATTTTCAGCATTACTTTGCTAACATGTGAGATGAGTGCAATTGTGCAGTAGTTTGAGCATTCTTTGGCATTGCCTTTCTTTGGGATTGGAATGAAAACTGCCCTTTTCCAGTCCTGTGGCCACTGCTGAGTTTTCCCAATTTGCTAGCATATTGAGTGTAGTACTTTCACAGCATCATCTTTTAGGATTTGAAATAGCTCAACTGAATTCCATCACCTCCATTACCCTTGTTTGTAGTGATGCTCCCCAAGGCCCATTTGACTTCACACTTCAGGGTGTCTGGCTCTAGGTGAGTGATCACACCATGGTGATTATCTAGGTATGAAAATCTTTTTTGTATAATTCTTCTGTGTATTCTTGCCACCTCTTCTTAATATCTTCTGCTTCTGTTATATCC